GGGGCCTCAGCAGGCTGGATCCACCCGTTTGATCTGGCATGCGGAGGCCCCTTTACCCACCCCTGATCTATGGACTTGCTTTTTTCCCCACACAAGTAGGCCTGCTGACTGAAGTAATTGCATTAGCTTCAATGGAATTACTCCAAGACATAACCTTAAGCATGTGCTTAAGTCTTTACAGGATCAGGGTCTGAATAATAACGTCTCAGCCTTTGAAATGTAGTAAGAACCTCTCATGGCTCTTACTACATTTAAAAGGCAGAAAAGCAACGGAGAACTTCTAACTGCTCTGCTTCTGCTTTTGAAATGTAGCAAGAGCCCCTTGCAACATTTCAAAAGCAGAAGCCCAGCAGTTGTAATTGGTGCCATATCCCTGCTGCGCCTCTGCTTCCCCTGCGGAGATGGTGCTGGGGGGAACCAGCTTTTAAGCCGGCTCTCCACAGCACCAGCTCCTGCTCCCCACTTGCTGCCTCTCTCTGACAGAGGCAGCAAGCGGGGGAAGGGCAAAGTGACTAGTCGAGTCACTACTCAACTATCCAATAAGCTTATGCTTATCGGATAATCAACTAGTCACTTACATCCCTATCTCAGGCTATGGTGACTCATGGTCATAGAGCAGGCAAAAAGCCCTCTTGATAGCCAGTGTCTTCCCACTAAGTGTAATGGCCCACCCTATATCTTCTCCTAGTTGTTGGAGCTAGTTTCATCCGGTTGGGGAGGCAGCCCTCCTTGACCGACTGCCCAACACCCCTCTGGGAGCTGGGAGTGAATGATGCAGCACAAATTAGGAGTATGGTTTTATACCTACAAATAAGTGAACTCGTGATGAGTCTGTATATATCCCTCATAATGAGCATCATGTTCAGAACATAAACTTTCATAAGAGACCTTCCTCGGTGTATTTTTATGCACAATAACATTGTATACAAGCAGTTAATTCAATTGCTGCTTCTTTGGGATTCGCTCCCTCTGTTATTCCATTTGGTGTTTGGACCCTGATTATTATGGTAAGTGCATCAAATAGCTTAGTAGCCAGATGCACCTCAACTGATGCGTTCACTTCCCAGCATGCTTGGCTATGAGCACAAGCTACACCAGACATGGTTCTTCTCACAGGCAGATTCCACCAGGGAAATCTTCACCTGTGTCCAGCCAGGCTAAATACCGTCCATTGACCAGACAGGTCTGGATGCTTTCAGTGCCTGGAGCCAATCTATTCCTGGCATACAGAGCTGGTTTAATGTGCCTTTTCAGCTGTTTAAATGCTCCCTCCAAATTGCAGTCCCCCAACCTGCCATTTCTCTGATGTGCTCCAGCATGACAATGTTCATGAGGGTGGGTGAAGGAGGTGTACACTTGATATCAGAGGAACTGACTGGGTCACGGTCCCCAGCCCCCCCAGGAGGGGGGAGGGGAGAGGAAGGGAGGGAAGGGGCTGTGAAGCCTGAAAGAAGCTGAGTCCCTGTGCAGCTAGGACAGTTCTCCCTTTGCCTGCACTCGTCTATTGAATTCATGCTTCAGTTTGGCAGTGGGGTGCATCCCTTGTCCTGCTGTGAAGCTATCCAGAGGAGCTCACATCTATCAATAATTCTTCTAACAGCCACTCAGAAACAAGTCTCCTTACTTGTGTCAATGAAGACTGCGTCCACATAGATTTTGGTACAGAAGGAGCCCAAGATAAATCCACAGGCTGGTCCAAATACCAGCATTGTAAACAGGATCCCTGCAAAGAAGCAGAAGAGAACACAGGGAAATTAAACACAAGGCCCAAATCGTCCATTGAATCAAGGTCCTGCTAACGTCCATAAGCTAAGATTTGCTTCCAAAGACGACTGTAGAGCACGGAGACAGCATGCTGGTTGGACACATACTTTGAACACAAGAGATCCCCCACAATGCCCTCTGCTCTGCCCCAGCTCCTCTGAGGAAAGGGATGGGTGGGGCTAGAAGTCAAGAAGGATTTCCATCCATCTGAAGGGGTGGTTTAGACTCATTTTGGGGACCACCCAGAGCGGGAAGGGGTTCTGCCCTGTAGTCTTGGGTGTTGTTACATCGTGCAGATTTAGTTGGGAGTTCTGATACTAGCCTGTCTATAAGCACAAAATCGCAGCCTAGTTACACTCTGCAGGGTGACGCCCGGCCCTTCCAGTCCCGAGTCTCCCCAAAACCATCCACACCGAGTTCTTAACTAACAGAGACTTGGACTTTTCCTTCCTTATTTGTCACCCTCTAAAGTGTGAAACCAGCCCCCAGCCTGCTAGGAGATGCACTCTCCATACCTTTTACACACCAGAGACGCACTAGAGGTAAAAATGAACAAAAAGTGCAGGTAACAGAAACCTCCCAGAGTCAGAGGTGAAATAGAGAGGGGAAGCAAACACGTCAACTTACACGGAAAACAAACATCAAAGTGGAACCACAGGCTTTATATTTTTAAATCAGATAAAACTCCTGTGATGATTCAAGGTACCTATTTCCTTTGACCAGTGTCCCAGCACATCCCTTCACTGCAAAGGGATCAGTGTTTCATAGATAGCTTCCTGCCTACATTTCTGCCTAGATTTCCTTCCTTTCGAATAGGGTTTCCAGCTTAGTCTCTCTCTCTCTCAGACTAGGGATGTTACATTTTGATTAATCAGCTAATCAAGTAGTCGATAGAATTTCCACTGACTACTCAATTAGTCAATAAGGGGGAGGTGGGGCGCTCACTATCCCATCTGCGTCTCAGCCTTTGAAATGTAGTAAGAACCTCTCATGGCTCTTACTACATTTAAAAGGCAGAAAAGCAACGGAGAACTTCTAACTGCTCTGCTTCTGCTTTTGAAATGTAGCAAGAGCCCCTTGCAACATTTCAAAAGCAGAAGCCCAGCAGTTGTAATTGGTGCCATATCCCTGCTGCGCCTCTGCTTCCCCTGCGGAGATGGTGCTGGGGGGAACCAGCTTTTAAGCCGGCTCTCCACAGCACCAGCTCCTGCTCCCCACTTGCTGCCTCTCTCTGACAGAGGCAGCAAGCGGGGGAAGGGCAAAGTGACTAGTCGAGTCACTACTCAACTATCCAATAAGCTTATGCTTATCGGATAATCAACTAGTCACTTACATCCCTATCTCAGGCTATGGTGACTCATGGTCATAGAGCAGGCAAAAAGCCCTCTTGATAGCCAGTGTCTTCCCACTAAGTGTAATGGCCCACCTATATCTTCTCCTAGTTGTTGGAGCTAGTTTCATCCGGTTGGGGAGGCAGCCCTCCTTGACCGACTGCCCACCACCCCTCTGGGAGCTGGGAGTGAATGATGCAGCACAAATTAGGAATATGGTTTTATACCTACAAATAAGTGAACTCGTGATGAGTCTGTATATATCCCTCATAATGAGCATCATGTTCAGAACATAGACTTTCATAAGAGACCTTCCTCGGTGTATTTTTATGCACAATAACATTGTATACAAGCAGTTAATTCAATTGCTGCTTCTTTGGGATTTGCTCCCTCTGTTATTCCATTTGGTGTTTGGACCCTGATTATTATGGTAAGTGCATCAAATAGCTTAGTAGCCAGATGCACCTCAACTGATGCGTTCACTTCCCAGCATGCTTGGCTATGAGCACAAGCTACACCAGACATGGTTCTTCTCACAGGCAGATTCCACCAGGGAAATCTTCACCTGTGTCCAGCCAGGCTAAATACCGTCCATTGACCAGACAGGTCTGGATGCTTTCAGTGCCTGGAGCCAATCTATTCCTGGCATACAGAGCTGGTTTAATGTGCCTTTTCAGCTGTTTAAATGCTCCCTCCAAATTGCAGTCCCCCAACCTGCCATTTCTCTGATGTGCTCCAGCATGACAATGTTCATGAGGGTGGGTGAAGGAGGTGTACACTTGATATCAGAGGAACTGACTGGGTCACGGTCCCCAGCCCCCCCAGGAGGGGGGAGGGGAGAGGAAGGGAGGGAAGGGGCTGTGAAGCCTGAAAGAAGCTGAGTCCCTGTGCAGCTAGGACAGTTCTCCCTTTGCCTGCACTCGTCTATTGAATTCATGCTTCAGTTTGGCAGTGGGGTGCATCCCTTGTCCCGCTGTGAAGCTATCCAGAGGAGCTCACATCTTGATGGCTTAGTAACATGCTGGTTAACCACAGCCTCCCTGCCCTTTAACCCAAAGCATTATTTCATCACAGAGCACTTTCTCATCGTGCGATTCTCGGCAATCAGTGAAACGATCCGCACAGCTGGCAGCAGAGAGGAGCTGGAGGAAAGCGGTCGCCTGTTAATACCAGTGAACAACCAAGTCTACGTGAAACAAAACCACATCCCTGGACAAAAGCCTGGCTGGCTAGAATGGAAGAGTTGGCCTGGTCTGAAATAACTTTGTCTTAGTTCTGAGCATGTGTGATTTCTCCAAGAGCGCAGCTTAGCTTTACTCGCGGCAGCCGGGAAGCACAACACAACCATTATCACCACCCAGCGTCTCACATGCAAACAGAGCTCACCCATCCCAGTACCCAAATCAAGAGCAATAACAGGAGAGAGAAAGGAAGAGGCCAAGAGAAAAGAGGGTTTCAGAGGAAATTCTGAC